CCTTAGCAATTTGAAGACACCGGTGGACTTTGTTGCCCTGAATTCCTCAGCTGGCAGTGTTCCTCCACCTTTGCAGCTTACTTGACAGGTGAGAGAAGGTTGCCAACCTGGGCCATGGGGTGCAAGAGATCGTGGATGAATCCCGCCAAGCAAAAGCCAATGATATTTTTTTAAAAAAAGGATGTTGAGACTCTAGAAAAAGTACAGAGAAGAGCAACAAAGAGGATTAGGGGACTCGAGGCTAAAACATACGAAGAACGGTTGCAGGAATTGGGTATATCTGGCTTAATGAAAAGAAGGACTAGGGGTGACATGAGAGCCGTCTTCCAATATTTGAGGAGCTGCCCCAGAGAGGAAGGGGTCACGCTATTCTCCAAAGCACCTGAGGGCAGGACAAGAAACAATGGATGGGAACTAATCCAGGAGAGAAGCAACTTGGAACTAAGGAGGAATTTCCCGGACAGTGAGAACAATTAACCAGTGGAACTGCTTGCCACCAGAGGTTGTGGGTGCTCTACCATTGGAAGAGATCACTGGACAGCCGTGTGTCTGAAATGGTAGAGGGTTTCCTATTTGAGCAGGACATTGGACTAGAAGACTTCCAAGACCTTCTAGTCCTTGGTATAGAATAACAGAGTTGGAAGGGACCTTGGAGGTCTTCTAGTCCATCCCCCTACTTAAGCAGGAGACCCTCTACTATTTTAGACAAAGAGTTGTCCAATCTCCTCTTAAAAATGTCCAGTGTTGGTAAAAGGAAGGGGGGAGAGAAGGAAGGAAGGAAGGAAAGCAGAATAACAGAATAACAGAGTTGGAAGGGACCTTGGAGGTCTTCTAGTCCATCTCCCTATTCAAGCAGGAGACCCTCTGCTATTTCAGACAAAGAGTTGTCCAATCTCCTCTTAAAAACGTCCAGTGTTGCTAAAAAGGAAGGGAGGGAGGATGGAAGGGAAGAAGGAAGAAAGGATAGCAGAAGAACAATGAGAGAAAGGGAAGGGACCTTGGAGGTCTTCTAGTCCACCCCTCTGCTCAAGCAGGAGAGCCCCTGCCATTCCAGCCGGGGTCTGTGAGTCTGCCTCTCCCAGCAGCCCCCCCCCCCCCCCCCCCCCCCCCCCCGGGGCCCCAGGAATGCCGCCCCCCCCCCCCCCCCCCCCCCCCCCCCCCGGCCCCCCCCGGCGGGGGGCCCAGGAATGCCGCCCCCCCCCCGTCCGGGGCCAACGGCAGGGCGGGCCAGCGGGCGCGGCGCGCGGAGCCATGGAGACCCAGCGGCCGCGCTCGCCCACCCCGTCGGCCATGGCCAGTAGCTTGCCGCCCGCGCCCGCGACCTCGCCCTCGCCCTCGGCCGCCGCCGCCGCCGCCCCGCTGGCCTTCGCGGGCTCCAACGAGCAGGACGTGGCGCTGGCCAAGTCCTTCTGGAACTCGGTCACCCTCCAGCCGCCGCTCGAGTCCCGGCTGGGCGCGCGGGGCGGCTCGCTGTGCAACGACGCCTCCTGCCCGCGACGGAGCTCGGCCGGTAGCCTGGGCGGCGGGACGGGCGGGGAGGGACCCTCCGGCCCCGGGGAGGAGGCGCCGAAGAGATGCCCCGCTCCCCGGAGCCGCTAACGGCAGCCGCCACGCTGGTCGGCTCAACGGGCTAACCGAAGGACGGCGTTGGAGGGGGGGCTTGGAGATCTTCTAGTCCGACCCCTGCTCGTGCAGGAAACCCTACGCCCTTGCAGGCAAAGGGTTGGCCCATCTCTTCTCCGGTGATGGAGAAGGAAGGAAAAGGAAGAGGGAGGGAGGGAGGGGGAAGGAAGGAAGGAAGGAGAAGGAAAGAAGGAAGGAAGGTTAAAGAAAAAGGAGGGAGGAGAGAGAAGGGGAAGGAAGGAAGGAAGGAAGGAAGGAAGGAAGGAAGGAAGGAAGGAAGGCAAGCAGAATAACAGAATAACAGAATAACAGAGTTGGAAGGGACCTTGGAGGTCTTCTAGTCCAACCCTCTGCTCAACTTAGGAAATCTTATGCCATTCCAGACAAGTGGCTGTCCAATCTTCTTTTGCCTGGCATTGTGGTGCTTCTGCTTGGCCTCCGTTCTCTTTGCACTGAATTGCCCCTTCTCGTTTGGAGGAGTTCCTTTTCCTTGGTCACCCCTTCAATGCTGCCGCCACACACACACACACACACACACACACACACACACACCGGAATTTCCCCCTAGGAATTGGCCTGCATTGCAAGGGGGTGGGGGTTAGCACCTGGGATCGAAATGTCTATGGAGGTTGTCCATTAATGTGGATCTTCTTCTGCTACTGTGGAAAAGCCACCTCACAAAGGAGAATCTCAATCGGTGATTTCAATCCATTGCAATATTTTTATTTTGTTTCTTTTTTTTTTAGCGAAAACCAGCCATTTGTCTGTTTCATCCTCAGTGAGTGACAGTAAGTATGCAGTTTTTACCAAAATGGACATTTTGGAAGGTGCCCTGATATTTATCATAATAGAATCTGAAGCCAAACCACTTAATGCCTAAAAATCCTCGTAAGAGGCATGCCCTGAACGCCAACCAAGGGATGCCAATCACATCTGGTGCCAATCAGTTGATTCAGTCCTATACGTGACCTGGTAGGTGATCTTGCCCCAAGCAGCAAATGGAAAGGATAGCATTTCTAATTGGCATTATTAAAAATCAACAACAAATAAACGTATTTTTATTGCAAGAACACAGAGCAGAGGAAATACACCTCTCGGGTATCTTTCTGCAGCTGAGATTCCTATATTGCTGTAACTTGGCCCCTTTAAGGACTTGTGGTTTCAACTCCCATAATTCCCGAGCTAGCATGGCTGGCTCAGGAATTCTGGGAGTTGAAGTCCACAGCTCCTTAAAGGCGCCAGAGTTACTCACCTCGGCTCTAACCCAAAATACAATTTGTTGTTTTTGACTAAGCTGGATATGTACAACCGGAAAACCACACCTTATTCAACCAGCTGTACATAAGCCAGGATTTATATGATGTGTAAATCTGGTCAGGAAACTTTCCAAGTTTGTGAATTGTCTGTTGTTTAAGCTAATCGTTGCAGTTCACTTTGTTGACTTAAAATATATTTTTCTCTTGCTTTTTTATTTTTATTTTTATTTTAAAAAGGATGAGATCATTGGGAACAAAAATGGAAAACTTAACTTTCTGCAAGACTTTTTAGCAATAGAATATTTTATTGGCCAAGTGTTGATTGGCCACACAAGGAATTTGTCTTGGTGTAAATACTCTCAGTATACATAAAAGAAAAGATACATTCGTCAGGAGTCGAAGAAACCCTGTTCTTCCTTTTAGCTGTCCTTCTTGTTCTTCCTTTGGGCTAACTTGTGCATCCAATGTCCCTCAATGTCTTTGTTACTATAATTAAAATAAAAATAGTTGTTAGTCCAGAAAACCAGGATTCTGGCAGCACCTTTTCAGACTACTAACCAGCAAGTCACAAAAACCAGTGCCTTTTTTCTAAAGGGCTTCTGATTTGGGGTTGCCGTAGATTTGCCGTTACAAATCCCACCTCCAGAGTTCAGCTTGAAAAATGATGAAAAATGATTTATTTATGAAACTGAATTTTAAAAGATTTCTTTGAAAACGATTGTTTAGAAAGAGAAGAAGAGAGGCACTCGGAAACAGAGAAAGATGTGTGGAAAGAACGCTGCCTAGAGAAGGTGAGCGGATTTAGCTGCTTTTCAGAACTAGCTCCAATTCTAAATTTTGCTTTTTGGGAATTCTAGACCATCCATGACTTAAAAACCATTTGTTTCATGACCGCTCGAAGTTACAACGGCGCTGGAAAAAGTGACAGATAACAGATAACAAATAATCAAGAGTTGGAAGGGACCTTGTAGGTCATCTAGTCCAACCCCTATAGGGTCATGTCCTATCCACTTTTTGGGACCTTTTGACAAGCAAAAAATCAACAAGGGAGCCAAATTCACTTAACAACCGGGTTACGAACTCAAGAACTGCAGAGGTTCACTTGACAGCAGTGGTAGGGAAGGTCATAAAAGAAGGCAAAATTCACTTAGTAACGGTTTCGCTCAGCAACGGACATTTTGGGCTCCGTTTTGGTCGTGTTCCTTGGAGCTTTTCGGGAAGAGGATTAGAATTTCAGAGCCTCGTATGCAAGTCGATATTTCTAAAGAGGGGAGAATGCTGCCAGGGCTCTTCCGTGCTCTGAAAATCAGCACAAGGTTTTCCATTCTTTGGGGCACCGAGCACTCGGGCTGATTATCTCCTTCAAGAAAGGAGCTGAGATGATTAGATTGCATTGTAAATCCGAGAGAAAGGGAGATTTGTCAGCCATTCAGACCAGAAATATAAAAAGGGCAGGAGAATCGACATGGCTTCCATGGGGCTGGTGCCAGCAACGGCCCTGCAAGAAAAAGTAGGCAGGGGGGGGAATTGTTTTTATAATGCAGGATCATAGACTGGTAGAGATATAGTCCTACAACCACCATTGAACTGAACATTTCTGTTGCTAAGTGAGTTTTGCCCCCATTTTAGACCTGCTTGGTTCAGAGGTGGGTATTCAGCCAGTTCTGACCAGTTCTGGAGAACCAGTAGCGGAAGTTTTGAGTAGTTCGGAGAACTGGCAAATCCCTCCTCTGACTGGCCCCGCCAACCCCATCTATTCTCTGCCTCCCATTGAGTCCCAGCTGATCGGCTGGGTCTCCTTTGGTTGCCCTGCACAGGAGAACGGAGCTGGAAAGCAGGTCAGTGGGGTGGGGAGGGAATGGGGATTTTGCAGTATTCTTTCCCTGCCACGCCTACCAAGCCATGCCCACCAAGCCACACCCACAGAACCAATAGTAACAAAATTTGAATCCCACCACTGTTGTAGTTGTGAGGAAGTTCAGAGGAAGACCCAGGTCCATCCCGCCTTCATCCTTCAGCAGGGAGGAACGGAGAAGGGAGCAACGTGGGTGGTGTGGCTTACAGGGGAGGAAAGGGCCCTGATTCCCTTCATTAGCCACAGCTGGGAAGAGAGTTTAAAAGAGATGCATGCTGAATGCGGCTTCTGCTGGGAACAAATGTGAGCTTATCTTGTGTTGACTTTGATTATCTGTGTTCCTGGCGTCTTCCCAACTGTGTTGAGTTATTGCTGTGCCTTCCCATCTGGAACTCCTTCTTTTGCCCTGCCAGACTAATTACTTCATCTTGTCTTGATTGGACTTACAGTTTTTGTTGACCATGTTTTGGACTTGATTCTCTGCAGCCAAAGGCTGTTCTTGGGAGAGTTTTTTTCCAGCCCAGAAGGTAACCAGGACATGGAGGCAAAGTTGGAACTAATAAAGGGACTCCTACTTATTATCTGACTGTGTGGCCTTTGTGCCATGCCCCTTTGGGTCATCACAATAGGCCTCCAAGGAATGGAAAAATGACAAATTGAACATCTCTTCCGGAAACATGTGCCATTTCTAGTTTTGTTGGACTCTTGTTCTTGATAAAAGATGCTGCAGACATGACGGGAAAGCAACCCTGGTCTACGAACCCTCACGGACAAACCCATTAGCTCTTGTTTAATTAACTCCTGGGGTCCAGTGTGGGAACCAAAACATCTTTGGCCTTTGGGCTCACCGCCATATAAATAAATCATTACGTCGATCGATAGGAATAAATAGCGTGGCTCTCCGGCTAATTCACATCGTGTTACCACAGTCTGTGAAAGTTAAGAGCTACATTAATACAGTCTTAAAGGATTTATCTTCCTCTTTTTTCTCCCCCCATCATGATGTCTTGTTAAAAGAGGAAAAGCTTTGCCGAGTAAGCATGGGAACGGAGCCAGAAGCAGCCAGGCCCTAGGAAAAGCCGAAATGTGCTGAGCTTTGCACTGGCTGCCAGCAAACCGGCATTCATATTCGTGGCGATTAATAACCCCCTAATGGATTTGATTCCAGGGCCGTCCATTAGACCTGGCTCAGAGAAATGGGATTATCTGGAGAAGGGAGTCTACTCTTCAAACTCTGCCACAATTTCTCTTAAATAATTCTCAAAGAAACGAGGGCAAGGTTGTTCACTTCATCAACCAGTTTAAAAGTAAAGATTGCTAGCTTGCAGTCCTGTACGTTTGGCCTGGGCACCCCGCTTAATTCCTAAATTCATCCGTCTTTCCTAGGACTAAAGCCCTAATCAGCTTGCACGGATCTCACCTCATCTAAATGGAGTTTAATATGAATCCAGATTATTATCCTGGAGGCTTTATAACCAGCTGATAAATTCAGAATCTATAGAAGGTTAGGGTTCACCTTTGAAGGGCGTAGATGGTCTTTGGAGTCTGATGGGGTAAACCCCACGCGTTGGTTATATACTGGGGTACAAGACGTGGTTATACTCAGTTGTTGGTTGCACAAATCTCAGCTATGCTTCTCAGCCTTGGCCACCTGAAGATGTGTGGGCTTCAATTCCCAGAATTCCCCAGCCAGCCACTCTCTTGGGGCTCTAGATCAGTATGTCAGAACTGTCATCCTGAGCTTCAGCCTTGCTTTGCTAGATGCCAGCCTGCCGTAGACGGGAGTGTGGGGGGGTTTTGCTGGGAAAGGGGAAACTGAAACTACTCATAGTGACTTCCTGAGACGTTGCCTCATCGTCCCAAGGCCAGAGACCTGGCAGGGGAATGCAACGGTTTGCCATCTAGCCTGCCGATGCAAGGAACCTTACCAAAACAATTCCTTTGAGTGCAACTGGACAATAGGGAGATAACAGGGAGCAGAAACAGAAAGGACAAGTTAACTGGGGAAACTTTGCGCGCAAACTTCTAATTCTGGCTTTGCTGTACTGTCACCATTTGCCTCCTCAGTAAAAGTATACCTTTCGCATACATGGAATCGAGAACCCAAGTCAGGGCAGGTGTGACACAGCATTTCTCAACCCTGCTCGCTTGAAAAATGTGTGGATTTCAACTCCTAGCCTGCATGTCCGCACTTCTCCAAGCAACCAAGATGGAGAAAGACTTGACTCTCAGAAATTAGCCAATCCACCCACCTCCTCCTCACCACGGCAAACGTCTTTCTTTACAGGCTAAAACGAGAGAAGACATCATTGCATTACTGAAAAAACAAAGAGAAGAGCGGATATCGGTAAGATGGGTTTTTAAATTGTCCAAACCTCCCTCTCCCGAGAACCAAGCGTTGCTTCCTTGCTTAACTTTCCTCTCTCATTTCTTCCCTACTGCCAGCTTCAGCATGTAACACAAAAGGAGGAATAAAGCCAGGAATGCTATTGAAATTTGGCTGGTTGAGGAGCCAGGCTGTAATCCGGACCTCCATAAAAAGCTGGAAAGGATGCCAGAAGCCTGGCATGAGTTTAGATGGTTCTGCTCCGCAGAGAGCTTTGTGGAAAGAGGGGATTGGACAGAGTTGTTTCAAGGGGATGATTGGTGGGGAGAAACCGCCTTAATTATATGGAGCAGGAAAGAAGATATTTGGTACATATTTAGCTCAATTGACTTGAATCTGTCAAGGACCGTTTCATCCCATTTCTCATTCTTCCCATTTTGAATCTGTTTCACCAGGGTTCTTCCTCTATTTCTGATTTTTCATATATATATATATATAGCTCACAGGACAGTTCCTCAGCATTTTGGGGAATGTTCTGCTTTGTGTGTTCTTCTTTTCTAACCTGTTAATGGTGTTGTGTATTTAAGGCGGTTAATCCAACTGCAAAATTCAAATCCATGAGAATTACCCACGAGAGAATATTTGTAGCTCAGGGCTGAACTGTGGGGTGCTTGATGTTCTCTGAGCTTGGTGGGTGTCTTGCAGATGTTTCAATACCCAGCTAGGTAACATCATCAGTGCTAGAAGGGAAGGGGCTTTGCAAAGAGGAGGAGGACTGTGGGGTCCTTGATGCTCTCTGAACTGGGCGGTTTTCTTGAAGATGTTTTATTACCCAACTGGGGAACAAAAGCAGTGCTAGAAGGAGTGGGGTTTGTATCCAGGACCCCACAGGACGCCCATAAATTTTGCACTGTTCTTTCCCACCCTGCAAAAGGACAGTTTAAAATGGCGAAGTTTTTAACAGCATTTTTCCCCCCCTTTCTCAGAAAGAATCCTTATCTCGTGCACACAAGCCAAAGGGCAAAGGGCCACAAAGGTAATATCAGGAAGAAAAGTTTCTCCATTCCTGTTTCTTTTAGTTTGGGGTGATCCTGATTGTAAATAAACGCTTATATCATTTTGAAAAGGTGTGATTTTTTTTCCTCTTTTCTTTCCGCCTTTTTTTAATTTCAGGGACCAGGAAGATAAAAGGTAAATCTCCTGTCCGGCTTAGAATTATTTCATGCAAACCAGAGAAAGAACCGCATGCTAAAGAATTCCTGGAATTAAAGAGGGGCAAAATTGTCCAGGTTTTTTGGCCAAGAAATCGACCTGGGCTCTCCATATATCCAGAGGAGATGTTGCCTTTTCACTTTTAAAATTACCCCTCTGAAAAAGCTCCTTTGGCCCCTTCCACTTCTCCTCTCTGCAGTTTCTGCCTTTAATGTGTTAATGGCTAGCATTTTTCTCAAGTATGACAACCTCCAGCCCATGGGGAAATGCCATTTGAAACGCATTTTTTACAGTAAGTAAGGTGCTTATTCAAATCTTGGGCGTTTCTCTTGACTCCAGTTATTTCCCTGAGTTACTGGTGACAACCCTGATCTATCCACAGTTAGACTCAGAAATGAGCAAGTGAGCCTTGTGGAAATTACTTGCTTAGGTATGATTTATCATCCGACAGGTTCTCAAGAGCCTGCCAGTTCTACCCCATCAGCCTGCAGGGTTTTTCCAATCGATTCCTGTTAACGGAGAAATCCTCTCTTTTTTTTTTTTTTTTTTTAAAAATTCCAGAGTATTTTACAGAGTGAAAAAGTAGCCCAGCTACAGGGAGAATCTCACTCTGTAATGACCCCCTTTTTCCTGGTCTTTCTTAATTTTGAACTAGTAGAACAAATGCTGCGCTTCCGTGTCTTAAAACTACCGTAGCTGCATTTGAGATGGGGCTGGTCCCCTAACCAAGAGACGGGAGGGCTGCGCCCCTAACACAATTAGAGTCTAATCAGTTCCTCTTATAGGCCAGGTTTTGAGCCTTTCCAAGCTACTGGGAGAATATTTGTAGTTTGGGGTTGAACTGTGGGGTCCTTGGTGCTGCCTGAGCTTGGTCGTTTTGCAGATGTCTCATGACCCAACTGCGCAACGTCATCAGTGCTAGAAGGGAGTAGGTGTTTGTAAAGTTGAGCAGGGAGAGGAGGAGGAAGAGAAGAGAAGTTGAGGGACTATGGAGCTCTTGGTGCTGTATAAGCTTGGTGGTTTTCCTGGAGACATTTCATTACTCAACCGGGTAGCATAATCAATGCTAGAAAGGAGTGGAGTTTGGAAAGGAGGAGGAGGAGGAAGAGGAGAGGAGGAAGAAAACTTGGGGGATTATAGAGTTCTTGGTGCTCTCTGAGCTTGGTGGTTATCTTGGAGACGTTTCATTACCCAACTGAGTAACATTATCAGTGCAAGAAGGGAGTGGGGTTTGTAGAAAGGAGGAGGAGGACTGTTGCTCTCTGAGCTTGGTCGTTTTCTTGCATGACCCAACTGGGTAACATCATCAGTGCTAAAAGAGAGTGAAGTTTACTTTCTATTTATAGACAGTAGCTTGCCTGACAGTGTTGCTGGGAGTGTTCAAGCATTCAAATAATATACCAAGATTAACTGCACCAACAATCAAGCAACAAACAATACCCCAATCAAGAAATTACCAACCCGGACAAACAAATCAAACAGTAAACAGCAGTCTAATCAAGGAACCACCAAGAATATTTCCAGCCATACCGACAGGGCAAAGCCACCCGTGTATAAAAATAAGAGCAAACTCCACTCCCACCTAGCACTGATGATGTTACCTAGCTGGGTCATGAAATGTCTTCGGGAAAACAACCAAGCTCAGGAAACACCAGGGGACTCCAATTTTCCAAGCTGCAAGATGCTTTGAGATTGGAGATTTTCCTGCTGGCCTGGGGGAGAAGGAGGTGGGAAGGCTTCCTAATGACTTCAGTGTGTTCTTAATTCCTTTTTTTTTTGTTGTTGTTGTTGTTCCAAAAGGGAGAAGGAAGAACAGTCTGAGGATGAAGAGAGTGTAAAGGCACTCCCTTGAGGATTCTGATCAGGGACACCAAACGTAGAAAGCTTGTTTGTGCTTTCAGCCAGCCTGTCCTTGGTCTTGGACAGCGGCTGTGGCTCATTGTTGATGTAGTCCGCCCCTTCCCCTCCCCTTGGACTTCTCCGCATGTTTGACAGACTAGCTCTCTGCAGGGCTGGGTGGCCTTTTCGGCAACCATTGCCCTGTGAGATTTTTACTCCTGCGCAAGAAATCTCTGAAGAAATATTCCATGCGTTAATTCAACATCAGCCTGCCGAGGTGGGAATGTCTTGTTTGCTCTTCACGGCGACGTTTCTATCACCGTTTCTATCACCGTTTCCAGCACTCGTGTTTCGTTTTATGTGATTTATTCATTTTGTCTTTTTTTTTTTTTGGAGCCCCATCTGGGGACTTGAATTTCCAGGATACTCAGCCAGCAGGAGGAATTCAAGAGCTCCCAAACCCCTGGCAGGCACCAGGCGGGGGGGAAGGGGGGAGGAAAAGCTGGCTCCCATCTTAGTACAGCATGTCACGTTTTGCAGAAGCAGCCTCAAAGTTGCGCTCGATTCTGAGTAAAATGAAATAGCGTGCTAAAAACAGCTGGCTCTTTTGCAACGTGCCCGAGACTGCCCGGTGAATTTCTGCTTTTCTGCCTCCCGGTTCCCGTCTGGCCTTTTGACATCAATGTGCTGAGATGAGTTCGCCGGAGCTGAATCCCTTCCCTTGTTTCCGCGGCATGCAGGAAATGGTGCCACCCGTTGCCAGAAAAGGCTTGCTGTATTGGCGGTGGTTGTTGTTGTTGTTTTCTGTCCTTCTCTTCCAACTTTCAAAAGTTGGCCTTAAAAGAGTTTTTGTTTTTTGTTTTTTTGCACTAAGCTCTCCCTGTGTCAATAAAAGGAATTGCTCCTGTAATTTAGCTTGTTTTAACTGGGGTGTTCAACCCAAATTCAGAGCTCTCGGTTAACCAAAATGTCTTGCCCGCAAGCCAGGAGTTTTCTGGCTGGTGATGGGTTGTCCTGGGATGGCCAGTAGATGCCTGTCATGATGAACAGCTGGCAGGGAGTGGGAGTGTGGCTCCGTTGGCTGTGGAGGAAACTGGGGAAGGGCAAGGTCCAGCTGGGCAGAGCAGGGGAGAGGTAGAACAAGGGAGAGGGAGTTCAAAGGAAGACCCAGGCCCACCCCCTCTTCATCCTAAGGCACGCAGGGAGGAATGGAGAAGAGAGCAATGTGGGTTGCGTGCCTTATGGGGGAGGAAAGGGCCCTGATTCCCTTCACAAGGCACACCTGGGAAAGAGAGTGTAAAAGAGATGCATGCTGAGTGTGGTGTCTGCTGGGAACAAACATGAATTTATCTTGTGTTGACTTTGCTTATCTGTGTTCCTGGCATCCTCCCAACTGTGTTGAATTATGGTCGTTCCTTCACATCTGGAATTATTGCTCCTGCCCTGCTGGACTAATGACCTTATTTTGCCTTGATTGGACTTACAGTTACAGTTTTGTTGGCCACATTTTGGACTTGATTCTCTGCAGCCCAAGGCTGTTCCTGGGAGACTTTTTCTCCAGCCCAGAAGGTAACCAGGACATTGGGGGCAGAGTTGGAGCTAATAAAGGGACTCGTACTGATTATCTGACTGTGTGGCCTTTGCGCCGTGCCCCTTTGGGTCATCACAGTGCCACTGGCCAAGTATCTGAAGGATGGCTGAGAAGCTCATTCCAACAGGCTAAAGGCCCACAATTCATCCCGGATCCCTACTTATGGCTGCAAAACCTAGACCCAGGAAAAGGCAGGTAGGAAAAAGGGCCTTTGAACTATGGTGCTGGAGGCAACTATTATGCATCCCACAATAATCCCAGAAATAACAAACAGAAGAAGTCCTAGACCGGACCTCACCACAAGTATCACCTCGAAGCCAAGATTGCCACAGAAGCTGTCATACTTTGGCCATGTCCTGAGAGCTGACTCACTCGAAAATTCAAGTCATGCCAGGAGTGATCAGCAGAAAAAGGAGAAGAGGCTGCCCTGGCACCCATGGGTTGGGCACTATAAAGGATGCCACCAGGATGCCCATGGCAGATCTGAAGGAGGAAATCAGATCTGAGAAGCATGGAGAGTGGTGATCCATAGTGTGGCTGAAGATCAGACACAACTGAATGGAATTGTTCTGACCCAAGGCTTGTTCAAATCAGACAAACACAAAGTATGTATAAAAGCAAACTTTTTAAATGTGGTGCTGTGAATTCTGTGCATTCACAGCCAAGAGTCATTCAAAACTAATTGTCCCAGATAAGAGCAAGTCCTTTCAAGGTTGTGCAAGGTTGCCAAGAACAAAAGACTAATTGCAGATAAATATCCCAAGCCAGAAGTCTCAAAAAAAAAAAAAAAAACTGGAGTAAGCAGAGCTTCAACGAGGACTCTGAGTAGAAAGAACTTCTTTGCTTCCTGCAAAGAAGCCAACCCCAAAGGCTGGCTTTTATCCCTTGTAGGTCATCTAGTGCAACCCTCTGCCCAAGCAGGAGACCCTACATCATTTCTGACAGATGGCAGTCCAGTCTCTTCTTGAAAGCTTCCAGGGATGGAGCTCCCACAACTTCTGAAGGCAACTTTGTTCCATTGGTTGATTGTTCTCCCTGTCAGAAAATTTCTTCTTATTTCCAGGTTAAATCTCTCCTGGTTCAGTATCCATTATTCCTTGTCTGACCTTCAGGTGTTTTGGAGAATAGCTTGACCCCCTTCCTCCTCTCTGTGGCAGCCCCTCAAATATTGGAAGGCTGCTCTCCTGTCTCCCCTGGTGCTTCTCTTCCCTAGACTAGCCAGGCCCAGTTCCTGCAACCGTTCATCATATGTTTTAGCCTCCAATCCCCTAATCATCCTGGTTGCTCTTCTCTGCCCTTTTTCTAGAGCCTCAACCTCTTTTTTATAGTGTGGTGACCAAATCTGGATGCAGTACTCTAGGTGTGGCCTTACTAAGGCTTTATAGAGTGATATTAGTACCTCCCTTGATCTTGATTGTATCCCTCTGTTAATGCAGCTTAGGATTGCGTTGGCTTTTTTGGCTGCCACTGCACACGGCTGGCTCCTATTGTTTGATCTGCCACAGTGCCCAGGTCCTCTTTTCCTGACAGCGGGCGTAACTTGGAGGCCCCGTTTCTGTCAGTCAGCATGAACTGGAGTCAGATTTTGCTGTGTTGCTTGGGAAGGAATGAGTGTGCAGGCGTCAGTGTGCACATGCGCTCACAGATAACCCCCCCCCCCCCAGCTTCATAAATCAGAAAGCCATTTAGGAAATTGCTGATGCGGCTTCCAGGGAACGGCAGGCCAGGTTGGAAGAGGAGTTGGAATCGTTCGAGTCCAGCCTTCCAAGAAATCCCTCCACCGTTCACAGGGAGACGAGACGAAGCACATATTCATCACGGCTTCCTCCGCAGCGTCACAAGATCACAACACTGCAACCAGAGTTTTGACAGTACAGGAGAGCAGTTTCATCCCGATGCACACCATTGATTGAGCTTTTCAAGCTCCGGGTAGGCCAACCATAGGTCAATCCAAGACAAGGAAAGTTTCAGAAGAAAACAGAACGTTTAATTCCAACGACATAGGCTAAATTTGTGGCGGTTCAGGAAATAGTCAGGCAAGGGAAGGGCTTTTGTGGCTCCCGGTGTTTTCTGTGGGGTTCAAATGGCTTTGTGTTCTGACCCAGGCTTCATCAAACTTAATAAAACACCAAGTGAATTTAAAAGTCAAACATTTTTTAATGTGATGCTGGGAATTACTTGCATTCCCAGCCAAAACTCACTAGACACAGTTCCTCCAGATAAGAAGAGCACACTTTCCAGTGCTGTTAAATGCTGCCAAGAAACAGAAGTCCAATTAAAGCTAACATCAACCTAGAGGAAACTGACCACAGTACAGAGTTTCAAGATGGACTCGGAGAATTACTGAACGGCTTTGCTCCCTGCAAAGCTCTTTGTCACCGAGGTCTGATTTTTATCCCTTATGGGAGGGGCAATCACCTCCCAGCCTTTCTTTCTTTCTTTCTTTCTTTCTTTCTTTCTTTCTTTCTTTCTTTCTTTCTTTCTTTCTTTCTTTCTCTTCTCTTCTCTTCTCTTCTCTTCTCTTCTCTCTCTCTTTCCCTTCCTCCCCCTCCCCTCTCTCTTTCTTTCCTCCCTTCTTGTTGGATTTCTATTCTTTCCTTCCTTCCTTCCTCCTAAAGATTCACTTAGCCTTCCATCTTTCCGAGGTGGGTAAAACGAGGACCCAGATTGTTGGGGCCAAGACGCTTACTCTGTCAACCTCTTAGAGAGGGCTGTCAAGCACTGTGAAGCAGTATATAAGTCTAAGGGCTGTTGCTAATTCTGCCTGCCTGCCTGCTTAGAGAGGGCTGTGAAGCGGTATATAAGTCTATTCCTTCCTTCCTTCCCTTCTTCCTCCCTTCATTTTAGAATGCAGTATTGCAGGCTAATTCTGCCCATTGCCAGGAGTTCGATCCTGACCGACTCACGGTTGACTCAGCCTTCCCTCCTTCTGAGGTGGGTAAAATGAGAACCCAGATTGTTGGGGGGCAACAGGCTGACTCTGTAAACCGCTGCAAGGGGGCTGTAAAGCCCTGTATAAGTCTAAGTGCTGTTGCTATATCTGTTATATATATATATGCACAGACACACACAAAGGGGGGCCATGGGAAGGGAAACCTCCATCCGTTGGGCTGCTCCGTCCCAACCCCCAAGGCCACAATGGCACGTTTGCAGCTGGACTCCTTTCCTTCCTCACCCCAGCTGGGCATCTGGGAAGCTGTTTCCAAGCCAACATGAGTGGAAAGTTGGCTCAGAATCCGGGAAGCTCGACCGGTTCCAGCTTCCCAGCGCTCAGGAAACCAGGAGAGAAAAACCGTCCCGTCAGCATCTGGGCAGGAGCCGATCCTGCGAAGGGAGCTTTCCATATGCATTTCCCTCTCTTTCCCCCCCCCCCCCCCCTCAAATCTGGCCAACGGCCCCTGCCTGTTCCAGGAGCTCTTGAAAAGATGCAGATTTATGGCTGCTGGGATGGGTTGTTTTTTTGTTTTGTTTTCTCAACCAAGTTTTCTGGATTCGGACAAGATGATGAACCGCGGTTTAAGCAGATCGGTTATTTTCAGAGCAAAGCAAAAATGTGATTCGATTGTGCTGGCACCACTAAAAAGGACTGTACATGGCTTTGTTGGACATACACGCGCACACACATACACACACAAACAAAGACAAAAACACAGAGATCTCTGCTCAGTGGGAGAGGAAGAGAGCCAGTTCACACCTCTCCATAACGCACTTTGGGATTCAGTTCTTTGCACCAATCACCTATTTGAAGAAATGGTCTCAGTTCCCAGCCCCTGTTTGACCCAGGTTAGTCCAGCCCTGGGTCCCAACTGGGTCCCATTAACTTTGGAACCAAAATATGACGGTGCCCAGATCTTTTGCAGGTTGCTTTTGACTCCCCATTTATCCCATTGCAGTTCACACACCTGGCTTTCTCAGCTGAAGAATTTGCACAACTAGGGTTAACCTTGGCTGAGTTTTATTTTGGCAAATGTGATTTGCAGAGTATGGTTGAACCTGGTTGGCAATCCAGGGTTCTATGTGAGTTCAATGAAGTGAACCAGGGTAACAGAAACTGGGTGAGACTTGCTGGGTTCCTTCACACATCCAGCACATGGATTCGTCACTGGCTGACCAAACGCACTCAACGTGTAGCCCTTAATGGAACTGCATCTACATGGAGGGGAAGTATGCAGTGGTGTACCCCAGGGCTCTGTTTTAGGCCCAGGATTCTTCAACATCTTCATCAATGAGTTGGATCTATCCCCACACATAATATCACCTCATATAATAGGGACGTGCATAAGTGCACCATCGTGCCTACCATCCCTATCCTATTGTCCCCATTTATTCATACCCATTTCCTGTATTCTTACTCATGTTTATCCTTATACCTATTATCTTGTAAGTGATTGACAAATAAGTAAATAAAACAAATAAATAAAACTCATCAAATAATTTGCAGATGACACCAAGCTGGCAGAAATAGCCAACACTCCAGAAGATAACGTTGGGCACTATCTAACAAAATGAAATTTAATGGTCAAAAAAGGAAGGTTCTATATTTGGGCAACAAAAACAAAATGCCCAGGTGTGGCATAGATGGTGCCTGGCTCAATAGTAGTAACCGTGAGAGGGATTTTGGAGTCCTAGTGGACGATCATTTAAATAGGAGTGTGCAGCACTGTGCACCAACTGCCAAAAAAAGTCAACGCCCTTCTAGGCTGCATTAAGAGAGGGATAGAATCAAGATCACGTGAAGTATTATTAATACCACTTTGTAAGGCCTTGGTAAGGACACACTTGGAATACTGCAGTTTTGGTTGCCACGATGTAAAAAAAGATGTGGAGAGAAGAGCAACAAAGAGGATTAGGGGACTGGAGGCTAAAACATTTTTATTTTATTTGATTTGTCAATTGCTTACAAGATAATAGGTATAAGTATAAACATAGTTATGAATACATGGATACATATAAGAAAAATAAAAAGAAACAATAGGACAGGGAAGGTAGGACCTTATGCACGCCCCCTACAGACCTCTTAGGAAAGGGATGAGGTCAATAGTAGACAGTCTGAGGTTAAAGTTTTGGGGGTTTGGGGAAGAAACCACAGAGACAGGTAGAGTATTCCAGACATTGACCACTCTGTTGCTGAAGTCGTATTTCCTGCAATCAAGTTTGGTGCGATTAACCTTGAGTTTGTATCTATTGTTTGCTCTTGTGTTGTTATGGTTGAAGCTGAAGCATTCATTGACAGGTAGGACATTGCAATATATAATTTTATATACCATACTTAGATCGGACTGAAGACGGCGTAATTCAAGGTTTCCTAGGTCTAGAATTTCGAATCTGGTGGCATAAGGTATTCTACAACGAGTAGAGAAGTGGAGAACTCTTCTTGTGAAATATTTCTGGACTTTCTCAACTGTGTTAATATCAGATACGTAATGAGGGTTCCAGACTGATGAGCTGTATTCGAGTATTGGTCTAGCAAATGTTTTGTATGCTCTAGTTAGTAGTGTGATATTACCAGAGAAAAAGCTATGTAGGATTAGGTTAACAACTCTTAACGCCTTTTTGGCTTTTGGGGCTCTAGCACTTAGTTCATTAGAGATGAGTACTTCAAGATCCTTGACAGAGTTTGGATCATCAACAACATATAAAGAACTGTTGCTGGAATTGGATATGTCTATTAATGAAAAAAGGACTTGGGGTGATATGTTAGCATCTTTCAATATTTGGGAGGCTGCCACCAAGAAGAGTGGGTCGATCTATTCTCCAAAGCACCAGAAGGCAGGACAAGAAGCAACGGGTGGAAACTAACCAAGGAGAGAAGCAACTTAGAACTAAGGTGAAACTTCCTCCTTTTAATAGCCGAATTTAGTCCATTTATGTGTATAGAAATCAGTTTCTTTTCCTCTTCCATTATTTATACTTTATAGGTAGGATTTATTGCTCTTGTTGATCTTTGTTCTCTTGGTTCTTTAATTACCAATCGACCACCTACTGCTCCCTCCTCCCTCCTCCTGTCTCCTTTCTTCCCTTTGTCCCTTCTCCGTTTCCTTTGCCATTTCTGCTCCTATTTTGAGCTCCTCTTCTCTTGCTCACTTCTCTTGCTCCTCCGAAGTCTTCAGGATAGAATAATTCTGCCTGAGCAGGGGGGTTGGACTAGAAGACCTCCCAAGGTCCCTCCCAGCTCTGTTATTCTCTACACTTGCGAGGGACGAGTCGTCTGAACCCACCCTAGTTTCACTCCTCGGCGCTGCGGGGGTCCAGTGGACACGCGTCAACGCTGCTCCGGCGCTCCCCCCACCCCCCCGTCCCCCAGCCTCGCCGGCTGCCAGCCAAGGCCGCCCTCCGCCCCTCCCGGATCCCCTCCAGCGGCCTCCCTCCCCTCCCCTCCCCTCCCGGCTGGCCCCCGGCCCGGAGGCGGAGCCGCTTCGCCTCGCCCGGACCAGACGCTCGGCCGCTCCCGGCGGCTGCAAGTGGCTTCGGCGGCTGCGGCCATGTGGTTCCCGGGCTGCGACGGGGCAGCGGCCGGCGGGCTCTGGCACCTTCCGCTGCTGCTGCTGCGGCTGGGCGCCTTCTGCGAGCCGGCGGACGGCCGGGAGGCGCGGCTGCCCAGCGGTGAGTCCGGCCCTCCGGCGGGCGGGCGGGCGGGCGGGCGGGCAGAGGCTGGCCGGGGCAGGGCAGAGCGAAGCGCAGAGAGACCGGGGATGGGCAGGCGGCGGTCCTGGCCGGGCTGGAAGCGGGGACCGGCTGCGCGGAGGAAAAAGGGTTTCCTGCCTTGAGGAGAGGGTCCGATTAGAAGACCTCCAAGGTCCCTTCCAACTCTGGGACTCCGTTCAAAGAGGAAACTTGCAAAAAAAAAAAAGTCCCGGGAAAAAAACGCCCAAAGAAGTCTAGGATCGCGTTTCCACTTAGGGCCGCGCGCGGGGACGGGCAGGGGGGGGGGGTCGGATGCTAAACGGGAGCCCCCCCCCCCCCGCCGTCCAGCGGGGAAAAGGGGGCCAGGGGGGGGGTGGAAAAGGGCTTCGGCTGCTCTCCAAGGTGCTGGGAGGGGGGAGGCTGCGGGTATCGGGGTGCAGCCGTAGTCTCCCCTCCCCCCCGCACCAACCGGGCAATCGTGGCCATCCCAACCACGATTCGTGGCTCGCGAGTGGAGGCTCCATGCACTCCCCCCCCCCCC